TCTGCTCTTAAATTGGTGCTAAGTCAAACAGCCTCAGCATCCACTTAAAACCCGTCAGCTGTTTAAGTTGCTCTGGGATGTAGACCAGATCCTTAAATGGCCTAGGAGGCTCTATATGATGTGACCCCCGTCTGCCTCTAGCTTCCTGTGGTTGTCTTCTCATTAAACTCCAAACGTGCCGGCTGCCTCTCAGTTTCTTGACAAGCCAGACTAGTCCTTTACAAATATTGCCTGGAATCTCCCTCTTCCACTTTCTTTGACCCTTTATCCCTTAACTGACCTTCAGGGAATTCTGACTAGGCTGGATTCTCCTGTACCACTCCATTGTAACATTACCATTGTAATTTTAAAATCTGTAAACTTGGGTCATTTTTTTTTTTTTTATGTTTATTTCCTCCATCAGACTGGATCCTTCTTGAAGGCAAGGACAACCAGTGTCCTGCTCAATATCTCCAGCATTGCACATAAGGAATCTAATGACCATCAGTTGAATGAATCATTGTAAAGAGGTTCTTAAGTTTAGGGAGTATGGACTTCTTTATATCCATATACCATACCATAAAAGTTCCTTCTCCCCTTCCCCAAATGTATACTTCTATAAAAATTCACATACACCTGAGTTTTTACAGAGCTCTCTAAAGCCCATTCATCAGCTCCCTAATTCTGATGACCACGAACATCAGAAAGCTAATCTTAGTCTGGTGTCCCCTCCACTCAGGATTCTGTATCTTTCAGATTATTATTTTTATTTATTTATTTTAAAGATTTTTATTTATTTGACAGAGAGATAGCGAGAGCAGGAACACAAACAGGGGGAGTAGGAGAGGGAGAAGCAGGCTTCCCACCGAGTAGGGAGCCCGATGCGTGGCTCGATCCCAGGGGATCATGACCTAAGCTGAAGGCAGACGCTTAATGACTGAGCCACCCAGGCACCCCCAGATTATTATTTTTAAAAGATTTTATTTTAGAGAGTGGGGCTGTTTGAGGGGGGAGGGTGGAGGGAGAGGAAAAGAATCTCAAGCAGACTCTATGCTGAGCTCAGAGCTCCATGCGGGGCTCAGTCTCACGACCCTGAGATCATGACCTGAGCTAAAATCAAGAGTTGGGACTGAGCCATCCAGGCACCCCTGTAATTGATTTTTTTTAAACATTTAAAATTTATCTTCTTGATACTCCTTTACTCATTATGAATGTCTTTTTATCTTTGATAATGCTCTTAGTCTTGAAGTCAATTTTAGTTGATAGACCTCTTATGCCTATTTGCATGGCACTTTTCCCCCCATTCATTTACTTTAAACTTAACTAAATTTATATTTAGTTTGTCTCTTATAGGCAGCAAATAGTCCTTTTTTAAAATTCACTCTGTCCGTAAATATTTAATGTAATTATCCCTATGGTGGGATTTAGGGCTACCATTTTATGTTTTCTGTTTGCTCTTTATATGTTTTCCCTTTCCTACCTTCTTTTGGATTATTTGAATATCCAATTTATCTGTTGGATTTTTGGCTATTACATCTCTTTGGGTTTTCTTTTCGTTTTTGGTAGTTACTCTAGGAGTTACAATATACATAACTAATTTCTCATGGTCTGCTTAGAAGAACTGTAAATTCGTCATGTAAAATGTAGAAGCATGGTAACCATATGGATCCTTTAACCCCCAACCTTTGTTATAGTTGTCATATGGGTTGCATTTAGATACATCAAAACCCTCCCCAAACAGTGTTATAATTTTTGTTTTCAGTGAAAAATATATTTCAATATATTTTAAAGAATATAGGAGAGGAAAAATTTTTTATACTTGTCTAGATATTTACCATTTGTTGCTCTTCCTTCATTCCCAGAGATTCAAGTTTCCTTCTGGTATCACTTCCCTTCAATATGAGGAACTTCCTTTAGCATTTCTTATAGAATAGTTTTCTGACAATAACTTCTCTTAATTTTTCTTCATCTGAGGATTTTATTTCACCTCATTCCTCTGTGTACGTGGATTTTCCACAATCCACCTGCTTTTGTTTTTTCAGTGTCCTCATCGCTTTTGCATTTGGTGTAGTTTTTAGTTGTCATGAGTGGGAAAGACTTAACATGCTGCTATGCCAAACTAGAATAAAAATGTATTTTTTTTTTTTAAAGATTTTATTTATTTGACAGAGAGACACAGCGAGAGAGGGAACACAAGCAGGGGTAGTGGGAGAGGGAGAAGCAGGCTTCCCGCTGAGCGGGGGGAGCCTGATGCGGGGCTCGATCCCAGGACCCTGGGATCATGACCTGAGCCGAAGGCAGACGCTTAACGACTGAGCCACCCAGGCGCCCCAAAAATGTATTTTTTATGTCATCATTTCTATGGCAAAATACATTACTAAATTAAAATCAGAGAATCAGAGATGGATATGGAGTTCTTCCATGGGCATGTTTCCAGATGCCCCAGAATATGCTTTTTCAACAGATACAGAATAATTACAGATGGTGGTAAATTCAAGAGATAAATTTTTTTACTCAATTAGAGATCACTGGTATTATATTTCCTATGACTGTAATTGTTTCAGTTCCTTCAAACTCCTGGTAGTACCCACCACTTGCATTGCCATAGCTTGTCTACTGTTGATTAACTTAGTCCCCCGATTTACTTGTTTCAGTGGAGATTTAAACCATGAGCTCCAGCAGAGTGGTGACCCCATCCATCCTATTTACTGCTACACCCCCCTGGCACACAGTAGATGCTCAATAAATATTTCTTGAATGAATAGAGCAAAAGTATGCTGATCTTGGCACTTTGGATACCTCCTTACTCTTCCCTTTTTCCTTATAGCACTTATGACCATGTAAGATCATTTATTGTTTATAATTATTGTGTCATCATTTTCCTCCTACCCCTAATGTAAGCTCCAGTAGGGCAAGGATCTTTACTCTTTAAGATACATGGATGCATCTTAAGCATCTGGCATTGCACCGGACTTATAAAGTACTAAGTGAACAGTTACAAATCAAACATAAGCAGCCCTTACCAATACATATGACAAACCTGCAATAAGTCTTTCCCTTTTTAACTCAGGGGAGATTAGTATGTGCCGGAAGAATACAGGATGCAGGCTCTCGGCTGCTGTCTTAGTACCTCTTTTGTAGCTGTTCTTTTGCTGCCATTCTGGTTCCTGTCTATTCTACTTCCTCATGCAGGTACTAAGAGTCGGAAGACTCAGTCTGTAACAGGTGTTAGGAGCAGGGACTCACATTCCTCCTTTCCAGTCACTCTACCTTGGGGCACATCACTGACAAACTTGTGGAGGGGGAAATTTTTTCTAAAGATCAGCACCTATAACCTCACAGAAATAAAGCCTTTTCACAAGCTCGCTAGATGTTTTCCAGTACAGAGAGAAATGAAACTATAGGAAGTTTTTCTGCCTTACTGATGATTTAATGTTCTTATGAGTGGCCGTGTGACCTATGCTTAGGAGTGTGGGTTCTGAAATCAGACAGGTCTTGATTCAGATTCCACTGCCACCACTTACCCTGGTCTGAGCTTATTTCCTCATCTGTAAAATGCTTCATGTAGTGTTCCATCAAATAGTAAGCATAAGCATGCAATACAGGTGATCTGTTTTTCGTGGAAAATTGTGAGTACTCTTTCCAGCCCGTTCCAGTGTTTTTTTTTTTTTAAGATTTTATTTATTTATCTGACAGAGAGACAGCGAGAGAGGGAACACAAGCAGGGGAGTGGGAGAGGAAGAAGCAGGCTTCCCGCTGAGCAGGGAGCCCGATGTGGGGCTCGATCCCAGGAACCCTGGGATCATGACCTGAGCCGAAGGCAGACACTTAACGACTGAGCCACCCAGGCGCCCCTCCAGTGTTATTTTCTGATGTACCTGATATAGAAACTTCAGTGAACTAAGCTGCTTAGAAAACTTGATAATTAAGGGCGCCTGGGTGGCTCAGTCAGTTAAGTGTCTGCCTTCGGCTCAGGTCATGATCCCGGAGTCCTGGGATCGAACCCTGCATTGGGCTCCCTGCTCAGCGGAGAGCCCGCTTCTCTCTCTGCCTCTCACCTCACTTAGGCTTGCATGCTCTTAAAAATATAAATAAAATCTTAAAGAAAAAAAGGAAACTTGATAATTATTCTGTTGATTATTATTTTATAATCTTTTGAGTATATCTTTCTGCTTTAGTCTATCACAGTGAACATGACTGGTCCTATTCGTCTATGATGACTGAACATTCTGTAAGATACAGGAATGATTTTCAGGTCATCATGCTAAATTTTTTTTTTTTTAATTTTAAAGATTTTATTTATTTATTTGAGAGAGAGAATGAGAGACAGAGAGCATGAGAGGGAGGAGAGTGAGAGAGAGAAGCAGACTCCCCGCTGAGCAGGGAGCCCGATGCGGGACTTGATCCTGGGACTCTGGGATCATGACCTGAGCCGAAGGCAGTCGCTTAACCAACTGAGCCACCCAGGCGCCCTAAAGATAAATTTTCAATGTCCAGGACTTAGAACCCTAAAAATAGGAGATCTTACTGAAATTGTCTTGACTCCAAAAACCTATCTTAGAAGTTACATATTTTACTACCTCATTGTTATGCACATAAAATTATTCTAATAAAAGCAGAATATGGGGGGATCTACCATTACAGTGGGACCATTTCAAATACTTGGCCATAATCTCTCTGTAATAGCTTGCTTTTCTGTAAGGGTGTGTAACTTCTTGGCAGTGCATGTGCCTATGACTGGCACATTGGGGTGTGTGTATGCGTGTGTGTGTGTGTGTGCACGCACATGTGCCGTTTTCTAAAGGGCAAACAGGTGCAGTTGACCACTTCAAACAGTGGAACATTATCTTTAGCCCTGTAGAAGAACTTGGAAGACACAGCTTTACCTGAAAATCTCGGATGGCTCTTCTTGGAATATCCAGGGCTGGGAGGACGGTTTCTGGAGGGCAGGTGTCCCTCTGAATTATGAGCTGGTGAACCTAGAAGGGAAACTTCCTGCTACAATAACACAGCAAGGCAATGTGATGAACACTTTTATTTACAAATATAATTAAAAGCTCTGACAGTTATCATGCTCTTCCTTGGAACCTGAAAAATGTTTTGTTTTTTTTTAAAGTGCATGCAAAAGAAGTAAAGCCTTTTTTTTTTCATCATTTTTTATTGTAAGAAAATACACAGTTTGAAAGTGTGAATAATGCAATATTTATGACCAAGATATGGGACTCAGGGAGGGGAAGGGAAATAAAGCAAAAGATCAAGATGATCTGATTGAGAGACAGTGTTGAACTCCAAATACTGAATTGGAAAAGGAGGGAGGTGGGGAGGAATCGGAGGAAGTAAAAAAATTTGATCAGAGAAACAGTTAAAATACAATATGAAAATAAGTAATACCTCTCCTTAAATTCCTTCTATACACAAAATACACGATTTGCCAAAGCCCAATTTGTGCTACTGGGATTCTGTGAGCTCCTTAAGTGTATTCACATCCTCTGCAACAGCAGAAAATGATTATGATACAATCAGAATATGCTGAAGACAAGTTAAACTCTTGCCAGCAGGTTCTTAAAAATCACAAGATCTCTTCACCCCACCCACCCCCCATCCCCAAAAAAGTAATAATATGTCACCACTGATATGTACATCACAATTAGTTTCTGTAAAATGTATCAAATTTTCAATCTTTAATAAAACTTTGTTTTTTTTTATTCCTGATGAATAAATACCAAAAAAATAAAATAAAATAAAATAATGCAGCAGCTAGTTAAGGTGTAAGGCTGCGGATATTGTGTCTCTCTCCCCCTTGGCATTTATTATTATTATTTTTTTTGCTTTACTTTCACAGATTGGTGGTAATGAGTGATTGCTTAAAGCAATATACATCCACTTTTGTTGTTGTTGTTGTTGGTTTATTGTTTTGTTAAAACTGTCTCCAAGGTTTTCACTGAAACATTTTGAATCACATCAATACTGTGACGTGTACTATGAGTAAAAAGACGGCCAGGTTTTGGCCAGCACTGGAAGTTGACACGGGGGGAGGAAGGGCCCCTGATGGAGTAAGAGTAAACAGGCACTGGTCCGACACGATGTCAGTAAGAGTAAGAGAGAGAGTGAGAGCAACGCCCGTTAAAATGGGGGATGTGGTTTCGCGGGGTCTGAATTTTTTTCTGTTTTCTTTTTCTTTTTTGTAAATGGCAAAAAAATTTAATCTCATCTATAGTCCTCCTTAGGAAAATCTAATGTAACCAAATTCCCAAATCCCATTCTGAGGCTCTCCATGTCAAAAGTTTCAATCTCTCGCTCTTGCCTTTCCAATAGGTACTTTATTCTCTCGCTGCGTTCCTTCTGAAGGGCAGCCAGCTCTTCTTCAATCTGAAATAAGCACAATGAACAGTTCTTACTGGAAAAGGTCTCCCTGCAGGCACCCACAAACACACATGGTCATGTACGTGCGCACATCTGACACACAAACATACAGGAACTCACAGTGAACTAGACTGGGAAAGTCTGGAAGAACCCTGGGATAAATGTCTTGTGTGTCATCCGTTATATTTAAAATTTGCTCACAAGAATAAAAATGTCTGGGGCCCACCTAGGGCTGGCACTACCACTCTAGCAAACCAAGCAGCTGGGCTGATCTAGGTCAGTGTCCTGTCTCAGCAGGAGATGGCTCAGGAGAAGCTAAAAGACACTCAAGCACAATTAGATTGTGCTGCTTTCCCATAGAGAGGCAAATGCCCCCTGGGACATTAGCAATTTAGTTCTAGAACAGGAGCTGTGAAAATAGTCTCTTATATTGGTCTCAGGGAAGTACCAGAAGAAAGTACAAATAACTGGTTAAGCAAATAAGTGCTTAACAGCTTTGAGATGCTTTATGAAATTTTTTCTACTTCATATTCTTCAGCAATATTTAAAGCAATGAATATTTCAATTCTGATAACATTTATTACGCATGGCAGTATCAGCCTCTCCTCATTTTAGTTTTTTTAAAGAGCCCTGCTGGTGATTTCTTTTGGTATAGAAATAGCTGAAAATATAAACCAAATCTGCATCTGGCTTCCTCATACCATTTAGCAGCCATGCTATCAGCTCATAGCACCTTTCACAAATGTCTTATCAGCTGCCCCGTCACCCATGCCATTCTTCTGGCTGTGAAGGTGTAGGATTTCCTAGCAGAGTAATAGAAAGAGCTTAGACTGTGGGGTCAGATTTATGCGAGTAACTTAACCATTTGGAGCCTTAGTATCCTGCCTGTGGAATGGAGATTATGCCTACGTCTCAGGGGCACTAGGAGGTAAAAGCAGAAAATACGTGAACAGTGCCTAGTTTAGGTACACAGGCAGGGCTCTATAAATGGCGGTTCTCTAGGCCATGGTCCATCCTCCACCCAACTGTATGGGACCCAGAGTAACACTCTCATACCTTCTGCTCAAGATGTGCTCTGCGCAGAGACACCCTCTGCTCTAGCTTCTGGAGCTCACGTTCATGTTGTGCCTCTGTTTGCATCTTGATTTTGCTCTGGTAGGCATTGAGCAGCTCCATTTCCTGCTGGAGCTGTAGCCTCAAGGCCTGGCATTCTGCTTCTTGAGCCTCATCTAGCCGTAACTGTGGGCAAAAAAGACACGCACTGTAATTCATTCCTAGCTTACAGCACCTGGTGACTACTGGAAGAGGTTTCCTTGTTTGGACTGAAACAGGTCCCCTCAGAAAAACAGATGCCCTGGGTACATTCAGAGTTAGGAATCAAAAATAGTATGTTCTGCCCCATGGGCTACAAAGTTCTACAAACACATTCTTAAAACATTCTTTCTTAAGAAAACGAAAACATTCTTTTCTTAAGAAAAACTGGTTTTCTTAAAACCACACTAGCAGGAGTCAGGAAGGCTACAGGCTCCAGTGATTAAGCCTGTGGGTTTTGGAGGCAGACTCCTGAGCTTGAAATCTAGCTCCACAATTCACTCAGGTATGTCGCCTTGAGAAGTTACCCCTCCAAGTCTCATTTTTTTCCTCTCAAGAAAATAACAGTAATAGTTCCTACTAAGGTTGGTAGGAGGATTAAATGAAAGAATTCATATGAAATCCTAGGCATAGTTCTAGATGCATACCAAGTGTTCAGTAAATAGTAGCTGTATCAGTATTTTGGGTTTGATTAACCATTTCCATATTTATATATCTTTAACCCTCAAACCACCATACATTTAGATATCCTGAGCTCTAAAAAAAAAGAGTCCAATCTCCATTACACTTAGGGACTATCCCACAGTACAGTTATGCTCCTAGCCAAGTAATGTTGGTCCCTATAGTTGGCTATACAAGTTATCCTGCTGGCCAGCCAATCTAAAACTCAAGTGGTTCAAAATTTCTTTCCCACAGAAGATAGCCTGGATGATCTTAAGGGGCATATTCTGGTTTGAAGCAGTAAAGTCCAGATTATAAAGCAGGCTGGTAGACTTCCCCTTTCTCCCAATGGCACCTGAACTTTGTATTGCATACCACACTACTGATTCTGTATGAGGAATGCACCAAGCCAGCCACCTTTCAATGAGCATAATTGAAGGTTTGGGGCCATTAGTGGGACTATGTTTTGTGGTTGATGATCCTCCTGTCCCAGGCTTGGTTTTGTCTAAATTTATCAGGCCCTCACTTCACCTGGGAACTAGGAGATTAGAATCCTTGAATTAGACAGTTCTGTCAATGCTGAGATTATCCACATATTTCCATACAGACACTTATTCTCCATTTTATGCTTTCCCTAATCTGTACAGTTTGTGACAATTAACAATATATCTCAATATCCTGATTAAGAAACATCTGGAAATATTATTAGAATAGTTTTAGAAAGTTATCTGCACAGTGTATTCTTTAGTACTTTTGGAGAAATGGATCATATGAACATGAAATAGATAACGTGATCATATTTCCAAAGCATTTCCTAGTAATTAATCCTACCCAGCTTTCACTAAAATCCACTTAAGAGGATACCTCTTTTCTCATTTCCCAATGAGAAATGAAGAGAGAAGAGATACAAGATAAAAGTCACTCCACAGCAGGAACAGCCTTACAGATAAATGCCAAAGGGTTTACTGGCTTCCAATAAGATTTATCAATTCCCTTTTGACATGGGAGTTTCCTTACCAATAAAGGGAATGAAAGTCTGTTCTTTTCTACTTGTCTTTGTTAGTTATTATGAGCCCTGATCAAATGGATGAGAGGCTCATCCTATAGGCAGCTTAGTCCATTGAAACATGTCTTTCTTCTCTTATTTCTGGCATTCTATTATTAATGTCCATAACTATGTGATTTTGTACTATAGCTCTGACTCTGTAAAAGTGCCAGTCTATCCTATCCAGACAGGATATTCCAGTATCTGGTATTCATCACCCCAAAGTTGCACATATCAAATCCTTTAAAATGTTTTATAGAAGTGTAGGTAAATATCACGTCTGTTTCCTAAAGTGGATTAACATGAAAGGATGTGATGGCAGCCACATAATGTAGTATGGCTAGGCTTATGGGCTCCCCCCGAAATGGGGTCAAATCCCAGCTTCATCACTACTTAGCTAATTACCACCATGTGAGCCCCTAAGCCAGGAGTTGGCACATTATGGCCCAAGGGCCAAATCTGGCTTGCTGCCTATTTTTGTCAATAAGGTTTTATTGGAACACAGACATGCTCATTCATTTACGTACCACCTAGAGCTGCTTTTGTTTGACAATAGCAGAGTTGAGTAGTTGTGACAGTGACCCTGTGGTCCACAAAGCCTACGGTATTTACTACCTGCCCCTCTACAGAAACAGTTTGCCAAATCTTGCTCTAAGCAAGTGGCTTTACTTCAATAAACCTCAATTTCCTTGCAGGTAAATTAGGGTTAAAATAGTAACTACTTCAAAGGTCAAAGGGGTTGCACAAGAATGAAATAACACTTAAAACATAACCAAAACAGTGGCTGGCACATGGAAAGGGTCACTAAAGGATAGTGGCATTTATCATACCTACTTTTATCTCCTCCCTGCCCCAGGAGAAAGGGTATTTCTCTCCTTTTATTCAAGGGCAATCCTGAACCTATATTCCTGATCCCATTCTGTCCCTCTTATAGAACAGGCATTCATTGAGCATTTGCCGTGTACCAGGAACTGTTGCAGATGCTGACGACACAAAGGTGAGCAAGACAAAAATCCTATCAGACTTGGTGCCCCTACCAACCCCCTCCCCTCTCCTTACCCTTAACCTCTCCCTGCACTCCTTTTTCATCCTACCCCTTACTTACGTGGCAAGGGGTCTTTTATCCCAACACCCAGCAGCGTTTAATACTGTGGATTGCCCTTTCCTTCTTGAAATCTTTCTCTAGTCTTCTGAGATACCGTACCCTCTTGGTTTTTCCCTCCCTCCTCTCTTTTCCAGCTACTCCCTCCCTTCTTCCTCTAACTTCTCGTCCTAAGGAATCTCTTCTATTCCCAAGGCTGAAATGATCCTCTATATATGGATGACTCCCACCTCTTCACCCCTATTTCAGACTTCTCTGCTGAGGCCCAGGCTAGCTTACCCAGGCTCCTAAAGACATCTTCACCTGGATGGTGCCCAGGCCCCTCAAGCTCAGCATGACTATTAGCTTATCATCATTCCCTGCTCTCTTCCTCAGGCTGCTCCACTTCCTTCTTTACTGTACAGGTAAGGGGCACCATCATCTACCGTTTTGTTCAAACTAGAGTCAACCTTAACCCCTCATGCTCCACGTTTACTCTGTAACTAAATGCTTTCACTTCCACCTCCTGCCGATCTCTCAAATTTCATGACTTTCTCCTTCATCCCATCTGCCCCCTTCTGGTCTAGCCACCACTTGCTCCTGCCCAGGTAAAAGCAGCAACTTTATACATGATCTCCTGAGATCCATCTGACCATCTCCCAGGCCACTCTCCACCTGTCACTGGAGTGGTCATTCACAAAATGCAAATCTGATGTCGGTCCCCCCCCCCCCCCGCACTTAATGCTGTTCAATGGCCTCCCATTGCTTTTGGGATCAAGAGCAAAATCCTTAAGAAAGCTTACAAGCCCCTCCATGATCTGGTCCCTGTTTAACCCTCTGGTCTTATTCTCATTTGGTCTCTGTCTCATTCTCTATATTTCAAACATAATGGACTCTGAGTTCGTCAGAAGTGCCACTATTTCCTGTCTTTACCAATGCAGTTCCTTTGCCTAGAATGTGCTCCCTACACCTCAGCTTAAATACTCATTGTTTCTGAGAGGCCTTTCCCGACTCTCCACACCAGCCGACTCTCCTGGATACACTCTGTTGGCACGCTGTACTTGCTCGGCCATTACATGGAGCAGACTTTTTCAATGCCTTTCCTTACTTTTCCATAAATTCCATGAAGACATGATCGATGACTGTCTTATTCACCACAGTATCCCAGGGTGCCTGGGGCACAGTAGGGCACTCAATAAATACTGGATGGATGGATGGATGAATGAATAATTGAATGAATACATGGATTCCTACCCTCAACCTCATGTTTAAGAACATGTTTAAGCCTTTCTCAAAAAACAGAAGTCCTCCTTCAACTGTCTCTTCCTCTAGCTACAGTTCTTTCTCCTTTCCTTCGCTGATGAGCAGCTGGGAAAAGGAAGCTCGTGTACACTTTCTACCTCAATTTAGTAGTATGTACTACAATGTCTTCCACTCTGACCAGTCCACTGATTGTCTGTGACAGTCATTGGACAAACCCACTGCGAGGTCCAATTGGTCTCTCTGCCACATTTGAAATGATCAGTTAGAAGCTTCTGTTCTGGCATCTGTGACACGCTCTCTCCAATTACCCTTCCGCATTAATTATTCATCTCCTTTGGTCTGCTTCTCCTCCACCCTCAAATGGAGGTGTCCACAGCTCTGTCCTTAGTCCCCTTCCTAATAAAATCTCCTGTCCCTAGATGGTCTCAGACATTCCCAACAGCTACAACTTCCCCCACCTAACACGGATGTCTAGCTATTTGTCTTGTGTCCTAACACTCTCTTGAACTATAGATTTCCATCTCTGTACCTCTCTCTACCTGGATACCCACATAGCTCAGGTAACAGGTCTAAAACTTAGTCAATTATCTGCCAGGCATCTAAACTCATCCCTCCTTCAATTTTTTTTATCTTGGTAAAATGATGACCCATTCCACTGTTATCAAACCTACCTCCCAGATTGGTCACTGAGCTCTATCTCTTCTAACTCCTAAATATTTCTCAAATCCTTCTCCCTCCTCACCATCTCCAGGAGCATGTTCTCAGTTTAGAGTTCCATTATTTTTTTTCCTGGGCTATAATAGTTTCCTAACAGGTCTCTACCTACAGTTGCCACATTACTGCCAGCATCTTTCTAGACCACAAATCCAATCTTGTCACTTTCCTTTTTAAAATAGGCTTCAGCAGCTCCCTATTGTTTACAGAATGATGTCCAAACTCCTGACTTTTGAGGGTCTGATCCCAACTATTCACCTGCTTCCCTTTATACTCCTGTCATATCAACCACTCATTCCTCAAATGCACGGTCCTCTTTCAGACCTTGCGTCTTTGCATTTACTCTGTCCTCTGCTGGGAAAAATAACTTTTTCGTCTTCTGCCTGTTTGACAAACTATTACTCCTTAAGACTCATCTCCTTGTGAAAGCTTCACTGAATCCCAGGTAAGCTCCCATCCCTGGGTTACCAAGACCTTTATGACCTCTCCATTTTGGGCTCCCAAAAATCCTCCTTGAACTTTGGACTCACACCAAAGTTTTCTTAGGCCCCAAATGCACACTTTACATATTTTGGACCTTTGCCCATGGAGGCTGTTTACTTCAGTACATTCCTTCAGGCTTCTTGGCTCTTGCTGGGAAGCTTTCCCTAGACCAGATTAGATGTTCTTACTTATCCTCCCATAGCGCCCCCCCCCACCTCCCACTTCAAAGCATTTATTATGCTTTTTTTTTATTGCCTAGTTCTCTGACTTCCTTGCTTGACTAACAAAAAGTGTGAAGATGGGGATCGACGGTTGTCTAGCTTATTACTCTATCTCTGAGCCCAGCAGAGTGCTGAACACAGATGCTTAGTAAAAGTTTATTGAATGAAGGTGTCTGTGTGTCTTATTCATTTGTGTCTGACATCAGTTGCGCCATCTTTGATGAACGAAAACATATTATATGCTGTATCTATCATATCTTGCCCTCAAAGTCCCTATGTGCCACGGGTCTGACTGAGCATGTTACTCCTTGAGTTCCATCTTATAAGACATACTCCAGCAAGTATCCACATTGGCTTGGCTTTATTCAGCGTCGTCACTTCCTCAGTTCTTTGGGCAGAAAAACACCAGTATCCTAAATTTGTGCAAGAATCATCTTGGGAACAAAAGGCTTGATCTTGAATTTTCTTGATTCCCAAAGCTCTTGAAGCTGTGGCACCAAACCTAACCACTTACCGCTTGAGAGGCCATCATTTCATTTATACTCTGTTCATACTGCTCTGCCAAAATGGCAAGTTTTCTTGTCTGCTCATCTTTCAGTGTCTTTAAGATTGTTTTGTGCTCATTCTTTGGAGTAACTTCCAACTGGTGATTCTTGAGTGCTTTATACTGTTTGGTCTGTACTTTGCAAGTGTCCTGAAACTGTTTTTTAATTTGCATTTCCATGGCCTGTGTAGAAAAAGTGACAAAAGGTAAATAAAGACACATTAGTAAATACAGAAAGCCTTCCATTCTAATAGTACAATACAGGTACTGGGACCAGTTGTTTTTTGGTGCAGTGACCCACATTACTAGTCAGTAATAATGAAAATAATACAGACAAGAGTTAACTACCAATAGTTTTGGCCTTATATTAAATGAAAAGAAGTAATTTTGATTTTACCAATGGATTTTAAAAAATGGATTATTACAAGAGGATCACAACTCTAAGCAGATTGTAGAATATTATGAAGCTTAGTTTGTTAAAGGTTGTTCATTATTTTAATGGCTTCCTAGTAAAAATCTTCAGTGTCTTCTACTTCTTGTAGTTTTTTCCCCCCATTTTTTTGGTCATCTCCCTCCCCCACCCGTGTTTCCAAGTGAGAAAGGGGATGGCAACGTATAAGGTGGCTCTCACAGCTCTGCGTTTCCTTGACAAATCAACAAAGGAGAACATCTGGATAATACCTCACATCATAACCCATTTCCATTGGATTTCAGCATAAGTGGAAAGGGAAAAGTGATTTTAGATTTCTTCCCCCATGAAGAGGTTATACTTTCATGTAGCAATATCAAATATGCATTCTGGCAAGGAGGAGGTAGGCTGTATTATTTAAGTCCAAAAGGCACTCATCAGGTTGCCTCAGAGTCACATGTGCATTTCACGAATGCTTGGAGTTGTGATGACAGAGGTCACTAATTAGACAGGTTAGGATATGGCTAGACAGGAACATGGCCAGTGTATTTGAGGTTGGCCTCCTATCAGTGTCAACAAGGACAACGCCCCCCTTGACATACAGCAATGGCTTAGTCCATAGAGCTTGTGAATTAGCAGTCAGCTAAAATTATCTAGAGACAGTGAGGGCCAAAGGAATTCCCAATCTCTAGTGCAGGAATAATAAATGTCTGGCACATGTAGATTCACTACCGATTCCCATGCCCATGACAGATGTCACTAATAAATCATACTCTTTCCTACTAAGCTTGGATGTCTTACAGTCTTTCTCAATATAGCAACACTCAAAGTAGTTACTACCAATAATCTGGCACAACAGATGAAATTTATCTGCCATATACCTGCTAGGTAACTTTCTCATTTCCTGGGATTAGAACTATGGGCTGCTGTTTGTCCATAAATTACAATTTTAAAAGAGGGCAGGTCATGAAGGGGTCAGAGAAACTGCATGATGGATACAAAAATGGAGGTCATCCCGTACAATGGTTTTTCCAAAGTAACATCTGTTCAGGAGTTTGTTATATACAGACTCTTGTGCTACACTTCTGGAGATTCTGATTCAATAGGTGCGAGGCCTAGGAACCTGTAATTTTGAAGAGCTGCCCAGGCGAATCTGACAATCATCCAAATGCAGGAACTACCGATCTGGTCTAACTGTATCCTGGAGCACCAACTGGGGAACACTTCAATTTCCTCTTACCTTTAAGTTTTTTGGCTGTTGCCGAAGTTCCATGACATGCTTTCTGTGCAGTTCCCTTTCTCGCCTCTTATTGTACTCCAGCTGGTTTTCCAGTTCAGTCTGGTGCTGTAGACGGATCAGATCCATGCGTAGCTTCTGTAATGTGTGCAGCTGCCTGTACTCTAGCTCTCGGGTGGACTCATCGTGCCGGATTAGCATGGCATGCTCCATCTCCTTCTGGGTCCTCTTTTTATTTAGTTCCTGCATTCAGGAACAAAAGACAAATGGAGAGAGATGACTGGAGGTGAACTGGAAGGAATGCACAACTAAGTGAAAGATGGCAAGGAATGGCACTACTAACTGTCTCTTAATTAAACCCATTAGTGCTTGGCAGCATGACTTAATGAGATCAGATTAACAATCCCTGGAAGTTTAGGTTCTGTTTGTGGGTCCGTCCCTTACAAGATGGGCAAGTACACTATCTGTAAAATGGGATTTTGCAGCCATCACAACTACACTATCTGTAAAATGGGATTAATTCTACCTGACCCCTTCTTGCCTCATAGAGCTGCTGTGAACCCTACTTAGGTGAGACCTTAGGCACAGGTGTAAATAAATGTTTCTTCAGTTCAGCCAGGGGTTCTCGGTATGGGCCTCATGTGAGGACCCTTTTCAAACACAAGATACCTGAATCCTACAACCTGAAGTTCTGATAACTGTCCCGGGGCGGGGGGCGGGGGGGGGAGAGGGATGACATCACTGTTTTTAAGAGTTCTTCAGGTGAATATAACATGTAGTCAGGGTTGAAAATCATTGACTTAAACTGGCAATGTCTGCAATGTTTTTGGTTTTCTGGGAAAAACCCTGTTTTTGCATGTATTAGAAGTAGGCCAATTATCTGCTTTTTAAAATCTCAGAGTAAGGGCAGGCTAGAAAAAAGCAGATGAGATCTCTCCCCTTTCATTTTTTCCATTAGTCTGTTTGATCATTTCTAGATTGAATCATTCTGTTCTTTCCAGTTCTACTCAAGTCTGTCTTTCTTTAAGGGGGAAAAGAAAGAAAACTAGAAAAAACATAGAGGTAGTTGGGTGAAATTTTTTCACTGGCCAGTTCAAGAATATTTCCTAAATCGCACCATATCCAATTTCTGAACCACATGCTCTGGGTACATAAAAATGTTTACTCAGCCATGATTCTGTTCTCAACTTGCTAACACTCTGATAGGGAATTGTACTAGACATTTATTGAAGTACTAATATGCTCAGCTCACAGCTGACTGAATCAATCTATTTTCTCTCCTCGGAATTTGGAATTGGGATTCAGAGACAGTTAATCTCTCTGTGAGGCTGGAACTGAGGGCATATAAAAACTACATATGTGGTAGCCATCCACTACCACATGGGCGGGCTGGGGATTAGAGAAAGCTGGGCTTCAGAACAAGAATGAAAAAGGGAGAAGACAGACATGCAGGGAATACGCTGATGCCCACGTTCAAAACTGGTTCTGAGCTCTCCCGTAGGTCTAGCTGTATTACTGCTATTGGGTTTTGTGAAACATTCCTCTATTTCTGTAATAAATTCCCTGGTTTTCGCTTAAACTAGCTCAGATAAATTTCTGTAACATGTAAACAAAAGAACCTTAATTAGCACAAGGAAATAAGTTATATGTGTAAATTTAAAAAAAGAACAAGGTTGAAAGTGGTAAGTTCTGTAAAAGAGGTAAAAATTTATGCCGTAAGATTTCTGAAAAGGGTGGTATTACCACTAATTAAGAAGGTCAAGGAAAAGGGCACCAGGGTGGCTCAGTCTGTTAAGCATGTGCTTTTGGCTCAGGTCTTGATCTCAGGGTACTGGGATCGAGCCCCACTTTGGGCTCCCTGCTCAGTAAGGAGTCTGCTTCTCCCTCTGCCTCTGCCTCTATCCCCAGCTCCTGTTCTCTCTCTCTCAAATAAGTTAATAAAATCTTAAACAACAACAACAACAGAGGGTCAAGGAAAGAAGAAAGTTTGTGAGCTGGACTTTCAGTGAGAATAAGAGGCCTCTCTTCTCTGATGACATCCACTACGGGAAAAAACGCAAGTCATTTACTTTTGGAGAAATATCAGTAACATTTGTATATTGGTGTTGTTGAGAATACCTTGCATACTTGGGCCTTCTATCCATTTGAAGAGAAGTCCTTTAAACAGCACAGCATCTGTTACTGGAGCAAGTCACTAACCATTCATTCATTCATTCATTCATTCAACAAATGCTTGTTGCACATTTTCTATGTGTCAGGCACTGTTGTAGGCACTAGGGATAGAGCCATTAACAAGTACATCCCCTCACAGAGCTTATTTTCTTTTTCTTTTTTTAAAAATTTTATTTATGTATTTGACAGAGAGGGAACACAAGCAGGGGGAGCTAGAGAGGGAGAAGCAGGCTCCCCGCTGAGCAGGGAGCCCGATGTGGGGCTCGATCCCAGGACCCTGGGATCATGACCTGAGCTGAAGGCAGACGCTTAACGACTGAGCCACCCAGGCTCCCCTTCTAGTGGGGAAATATCCAAAGTATATATGCAATTTAGATTTAAGGAGACAAGATCATCTCCTAGAGCACCCTACCCCCCACCCTCTTTTGCATTTTGCTTTCCCTTGTTTTACTTTTCCTCTACCTTGACCGTCTAATGTCTTCTTTTAAAAGGCACTAACTGACCCCTAGGTGGCACCAAAGGATGGTGAGGACTTCTCAGAGACTAAAGCCATTCTAGACCAATGACCAAGAGAAAAGCCCTAATGGAAAGCTTTTAAAAGGGCCTGTTTCTAGATTACTGTATCATTTTTAACCTTTGAGTACCAGGTCTCCCAATATTGGGCATTTATTCATTACACATTTTCCTAAACTAAGAAGTCCAAAATTAGTCTGGGCTGCCCAGAGCCCTGAAACTTATGAGGAAAAAAATAAAAGACACAAAGCAAACAACACTCTCAAAAGAAGTCAAATACTTTCCTTTATGTTTAATGGGATGCTTCAGGGTGCCGTCCACAGAACACCTGCATCAGAATTACCTAGTTACAAGTGACTGGTCGTAATAATATGCCACCCAGTTAATTCTGATACCTACTAAAGTTTGAGAATCAATAGAAAAATATTCACGGTGTGAGTCAATCGTGTATGATGTTGGACAAATCTTTTAACATACATTTTAGTTTTCTCAGGTGTAAAGTGAGGATAACAGTACCTACACCATGGACTACCATTCTTGTGAAGATGAGGTGAAAGGCCAGGAGACAATGCTTCATAACATATCAACATATCATTATTATTCTTCTGTATTCAGAAGTGAACATCTGGCATATAATATCTTGAATCTAGTTTTTCATAAATGATTAAAAAAGTGAGAGAAACAGGATAAGGAAATTGTTTTTCTGTTACAACTGTAAGTTGTTCCCTTTACCTTTAATTCACACATCTCAGTTGTTGTGGTTAAGTTGATAAGCTGCCTATATTTTTATTATTATTATTAGACTCCCTATGAGCCTATTGCTGTGCCTACATAAATATGTGTAATGTGCTTTCAGTTTTTATTCATTTTTATTTTTTTAAAGATTTTATTTATTTATTTGACAGGGGCAGAGAGAGAGAGCGAGCACACAAGCAGGGGGCACAGCAGAGGGAGAGAAAGAAGCAGGCTCCCCACTGAGCAAGGAGCCCGATGAGGGCCTCGATCCCAGGACCCTGGGATCATGACCTGAGCCAAAGGCAGACGCTTAGCTGACTGAGCCACCCAGGCGCCCCTGCTTTCAGTTTTTAAAAGTAATTTCTTATTACTCAGTCCCACTTGCAGCCCCATGAGGTAGTCACATTGCAAGGACTTACAACCCTTTCCCATAGGATGGTAAGATGTTTGGGAATTGAGAGACTAACCTAAGATCATACAGAACTGAGTCTAAAACTCGGGTTTGGGAGTTTTCAACAGTTTCCAGTGAAAGATGTCCCAACGAATGGTTTATATTTTCCTGTTTTATGTCTTTTTTCAGCCTGTAACACAATATGCTGAAGAATCCCTCTGCTCTGGTGAGATACGGCGCAGTGCTGCTCCATCTGTACAAACTGTGGGCACAATGTGCAGTGCACCTTCATGCACACCTTCAGCTTATACCAATTCATAAAACGAGCTGAGCAAAGAGCGCCTGGGTGGCTCAGTTGGTTGGGCGACTGCCTTCGGCTCAGGTCATGATCCTGGAGTCCTGGGATCGAGTCCCATATTGGGCTCCCTGCTCGGTGGGGAGTCTGCTTCTCCCCCTGACCCTCCCCCTTCTCGTGCTCTCTCTCTCATTCTCTCTCTCAAATAAATAAATAAAATCTTAAAAAAAAAAAAACAAAAAAAACGAGCTGAGCAAAAACAAAAGTGCATGTAATGCTATAGGTGATTTTGCTCACCAGTGCACTCCACATCTATATGCCCTGGAGGCAGCAGAAGATGACGGCCATGTGGGCTCCCTTTCCCTCAGCTCACATCACACACTGTGCACACCTCCCCAAAGCTGAGAGGCAGCTTAGTGTCAAAACCTATGTACTTGTCATACGCGCAGACCCTGAACACATGACTATACTTTATAGGACTCTACCTCCCAAGTAAGATGTGAATCCAGGGTGTGTCCTGTGATCAACCCTTCCCAACCACAACCCAAGTGCTACTGACTTTAAAAGCAGTTGATCCCGTTCAAGTAAAACATTGTCCTCATGCCCAATGAGGCTGAGTAAGAACTAGAACTCAAACTTTTAAATGGTGATGTTGTTAGCCTATGACATTTTACGCTTTCTTAGTTTCAGTTCTTGGTTTCATAACTGGTTAGAAAATAGCCAGCATCTGTGTGCAGTGATGATAGAGGAAGAGGCTCAACCCAGTCTATGGTGAGCCTTCTCAATGTTTTCATTAACTAAAAGGATTGCTCATACTCAGTTTTGGCAAAGACACAGAAAAACAGGCGCTCTTTGTTGGTGGGAGTATAAATCCCTAGAGGGCAATTTGGCAATATCTATTAAAAATTTACATGTATACACTGTGACCCAAAAATTCTACTTCTGAGCATATATCCTCAAAATATTTGTATCTGTGTAAAAAGATCTGCGTACAAAGATGCTCTCTGTGGCACTGTTAGTAATACTGTAAAACATCAACAAAATATCCACTGAGAAATACTTCATTAAATAAATAATTTTATAGCCACACATGCAAAATTCACTGTTAATGGTTAAAAAGAATCAGACAGAGCTGTGTGTCCTGGATGGTGAATGAGAAAAAGAGAAGAGTTACGAAACAGTATAATGGACATTTTTGTAGGTTCAGTATCCATTTCCCCTTCTTTTGTGAACAGGCTCCTCTTTTTGCTTGAGAAACTCCTCCACCCTATCTGTAATCAGAGAGTATTGAGTAAGGGAGCAAGCACATTGCCCAATAAAGGTCTCCTTCCCCTAGGAATTTGAATCTCAAGCAGAAACGATACAAAGATTAAACGTGGTGGGAGGAAATACATCCGAATGGCAATGCTGAGGAATGTCCATTAGCTCTTGCTCTCTAGGTCACAGAATTTGCTTTTCCAGTTTGGGTCTTCATCTTCTCCAGCTTGGTTCTTCGGTTCTGTCATCTATCCCTATCCTTCCAATAAATTCCTTTCCATTCTTGGGCAGCCAGTGTTTGTTCTGATGGCTTGCAAATCAAATAAACCCACTGATACCAATGTAATCTTATTTTTGTAAAGTTAAAGTTACATATAAACTGAATGTATGTATACATATATAGAAGGAAAAGGAAATCTGGAAATCTGGATGCCAAATTAATGGTAGTCAGGGTAGAGACTGGGTGGAATGGGATTATCAAGAACTTTCACTACTCAACTATATATTTTTCTGTGTTTGTCTTTAATGTTCTCATAAATAAAAACGAAACACTTAGACTCTTCAGGAAAATACCCATATAAGTGTTGGTTAGAACCTGACACTAATGAAGTAAAAAATATAGTTTCTATCACTTTTGGGGAATAATTGTTTTCTACAGTTTTTATTGGCATAAGTGTTCCCTTAGCCTTAGACTTCTTCCAAAAATGTGCTATCAGAATAACAATAATAATTGCCAGATGAAAACAATCCCAAATATCTTATATCCAAATGGCTTTTGGACTTCTTCATTTGGACTTTTTTGTCTTCTAACAAACGGCAACAGTCTAGTACAGAATTAATCCGTTTCTTACCGACACCTCTCTCTAAGCTTCTGTTTCTGCCCAAATCTACATGTAACTAAGTCTTGAACACCAGAAATAACTTTGATTCTACCCTCATCTTTTCTTTCATATTCTATGGTATGCCAAGTCCTGTTTATTTCATATTTAAAATATGTTTCCAATTTACCTCTGACAGCTGTCACCACCATCTTTGTCTATACCCTATTTCCTACCACCCAATTACTTTGCTTCTAGTTTCTTCCCCCTAAACCAATGTTTCTCAACCTTTTTCTCTTTTTTCCCCCATTATCTTTATTTATTTATTTATTTACTTACTTACTTACTTACTTACCTCAGGAGCCTTTCTAGACTTCCCCCTCCCCTGATCAACCGCATCCATGAAATGTGTGTGAATACCACAGATACACTGTATATCCGTTTATGTACTGTGGCCCTTGAGGGGTTCTAAGTCTTTGTAATATCTAAGACCCCTCCCCCGAAAGAACGCATTTTCACTCCCCTAGGGGCAGTATCGCCCCCACTGAGAATGCATGCTTGAATCAATCTATGCATCACCACCAACCAAACAGGGCTAATCTCTCTAAAGTAAAATTTTAGCCATATCACTTATTGCCTGGCTCAAAAATAAATGTTCAGCAGTTTCTCCCTCTTCCAATGAGATAAGACAACACAGATAAAGGGCCTGAGCCTGGCTCATTACATGTGTTTGAAAATTTTAGTTTTCTTCATTCCTTCTCCTTACGAGTTGAATACTGCTCTCCAAAGAGCTTATAATGTACCATGCACATTCCCATTAAATGTGTCTTTAGTGCTTGTTTCCCTCGTGCAGGCTAACACTGGGCTTTTTGCAAACTTTGATATTTTTACCAATGTCCTAGTTCATTTATGAGGGTTTCTCTGATTACTCCAGGTCACAATGTTTTCCTACTGAACTTTGTATCTGCAACTGAGTCACATTCTGTGCTCCTCATCTCAGTGAATAATGTCTTATTCATCCAATTTCCCAAATTAGAAACTTTAAAGTCATTGTGAACTCCTCTCTCATCTGAAATTCTGATGTCATTTGGTTGGAATTACTGTCAGTTCTGCTTCAGATCTAATCTCTCCCCATTGCCTCTTCCAGGTTGAACTAGAGAAAGAATGTCCTAGCTGACCTCACTGTACTTAGCTTCTTAATGCTGTAGCCTCCCTTCACACTGATCCACTACTTCTTTCAAAGAAAACTCTTTTCGACCCCCTGCTTAAAAACTTCCTATAGCCATTGCAATTGCCTTCAGGCTAAAATTGAAATAATATGCCTTAACAAAAAAGGTCCTCCGCATTCTGTTTCTAATTACCCTTTTCCTGATATTCCACTTTGTACCCCCCAAACACTCAACTTCTTATTAGTCGCTGAGTCCTCCAAGCCCTTTCACTACTATATGCCCAAGACACTTTATTTATGTATCTATGGTACCTGACATGTTACACTGTAACTAGTCCGTTACATGTCTGTTTCTCCTCTTAGACTTAGGGCTGTTTGAAGGCAGGAAGGATAGCCCCTCCCTAGCCCTCATATCTCCAGCACAGTGCCTGGCACTAAGGGGGCACTGGACGACTGAATGACTTAATTATGGAGCATCACTTTATTACTTAATGTTTCATATGGAGCCACAAAACCCCAAGTGTCCGCCAAGTAGGCTGACAGCAGAAATTCTCTATTCTACATCTTTTGATTCTCAACTGCATAATAAGGCTTATAATAGGTGCTCAATAAAAGTCTATTACATTTATCTGGAAAATGTTGATTCCTTATTCTGTAAATGGGCTTTCTCTTTCTTCTCAGTGGTAAATTCGTTTCTTGGCTACATTTGTACACCTACTTTGTGTCAGGCGCTGCATTAAAGACCATAAAGGTTAAGGATATAAGAATGGACAGAACAGTCATGATCCTCAGAAAGCTTCTTGTCCCATAAGTCAGTGATGATAGTTATGAACCAAATAAATACCTCCCGAATGTTCTGCTGCTCCACCTCGTGCCGCTTGATCATTATTTTCCGCTTGAAGAAACGACAGTTTTTGTCGTAGTACAGTCTCTGCTGGGTGAGAAGGTGGGCTTCCTCTTCAGCCTGTGTGTGCTGCAAGTTCTCTTTATGCTTGGATATCCGCTCTTGCTTTTCTTTCTTGGGTGTGCTATGGTCCTCATTCATCTCCTTCACAAAACCAGAACAAAACAAAAAACAAAAAACAACATGCTGGTGTCATCAAGTAATAAACTAATAGTTTATTGCAATGGTAGATTAAATTATTTGGAGAGCAACTAAAGACTTGGTGCTGCATATCCCTCCCCCGCAACTTTTGTTTATTAATTGACTGAGTAGTGACAGGAAGGCTTGTTAGTTTCCACGTCTCGGGCTTCTCCCCCTTGGAAAAATTGGTTCACTCATTCAATCAACACACACTTACTGAGTTCTCATCATGTGACAGGTACTGTGCAAGGCACAAGGATACAATGGTCAGCAAAAGAACGTGATAACCACCATCATGGGGTTTCACAGTCTAGAAGCAGTAATCAAAGAACCGCAGAAACAAACTGAAAATTACTGTTATAGCTTCTGTGAAGGTGAAGTACTTGGTTCCACAAGGAGGTTTAAAAGAACATATTTGATCTTGGTAGCAACTAAGCTGAAATTGGAAAAACCTGTAGGAGCTAACCAGTGAGAAAGGGGAGGAGAGAATACTCTGGGTAGAGGAAACAAGAGTGTGTTAAACCCTTCAGGTGGGTTAATTGAAACATGGTGTGATCGAGGAACAGAGAGCAGGCCAGGGGGGTGGTGCAGTGTGACATGAGATGAGGCAGGACCATCAGAGGCCTTACAGGCCAAGTTAAGGACATTGATCTGTAGCACAGGAGACAAGGATTTTATACATGTGGGGGTGACACAATGAGATGCATCTCAAAAAGATGACTCTTGTTGCTTCGTGGAAAACAGAGTGAAGGAGACAAGACCGCGAGAAGTGGACAGATTTCACAGACTGGTGGTAACTCTGCAAATGGCACTAGTTAGAATATCAGGAAACAATTCTTTATTTGCTATTAGAGGGTAAATGAACCACCTATATTTCCAAAAGGACAAAATTCATAATTATTCCAGACTATATGGGTAAAGAAAAGAAAGCAGAGACTCAGAACACTTAAGATGATGTTACTTTATGGAGAAAGTAAGACCCTTTTTAGAGAAAGTACAGTGCACTCTTTTTTGTTCATAGTGACAAGCTTGACCTATAATATTTGGTTAACTACTCAGTGAAAGTCTCCTTTAAATTCTAACACCTATTTTACTTAATGTTTTGTGATGTGGACATCACCCACTATTTAGATTATTTTTGCACTTAGCCAAGAAGTCCTTGTAAATCAACTTTCAGCTTTCCTGTTCCAGTGAAGTCTTAAGTGAAATATCAGAATCAACAAGAGAGAAAGCTGTTTCGAGCATGGAGTAAGCTGGGATCACAAGAGGAAGCCTGGGTGACTCATTTCTTGATGCCATGACTTCACTACTAGGCTTGGCATTAACCACTACATTGCACACCCAAGTTCAAATGTGACCATATGAACTCATCCCAAAATCAAGAATAAATTATTTCTGGACCATCCATCATCCTGTTCTGCCCACATCCCTGCTAACAAAAAGTGGGGATAATGGAGATTGTTTTGTTACCCCAAGGGCAATACCTTTAAATATATCAATATCTAAATATACATGCCACCTTAAATAGTCAGAACTAAGCTTTACTTCATAAGGAGTAGTATTAGCTTTGCATAGAAAGGCTTACTGAGGCTATCTCAAACTGAGTTTAGGCTTGTTTTTCCTCATGAGCATGTTGAGAGACTTATAAGTTTAGGCCTGTGGTTTCCTGCACTCATAAATCTGAGTACCAAAAATGCCTGAGGACTGAGTGGGTATTCTCGAATGCTATTCTGTGAGAGAATCTTCTACAGGTTGAGTTCATGCAATCTCCAAATACCTTGGTGTTAGAAAAGGTCAAAATGCTGGCTGCAGTCACAAAGTGTGGCCTACAGAGCATGAGTAAACACAAGGAGTTAGAAATAAGAATGTGAGTGCAATTGGGAACATTTCAAAATTTCTCAATGAAAAATCAATGTTATCTCTGTGACCCAGCAATATCTTTCTATTATGACATAACAATGAGGTCCCAGCAATAACTCAGAGAAAATGGATAGAACATGAACCTTCTTATTTGGGCTATTTCTCCCTACAGCCTGGTTTTCTAGACCTTACAGTGTCAGAGATTTTTCCCATTTAGGCAGTGTGGATTAAATAAAAATTTCTGTCAGTCCCAACAATCACCAGGGGCTCATCTGGGCAGGACTAAAAATCCTGAGGCTCACCCCAACCCATTTACTTTCACTTCCTAATTAAAAAAGAATTGGAGAGGAAGCTTGATAAGTTCCAGATTGTTAACTTAGAATATGAGCTCAAATAAATGATTTCACATACTGAAACCATGCCCCATATTGAATTTTATTAAACCTTAATATACCAGTAGTCTAGAAATAAGAAATCCTAAGTCTTATGAGGAGGAAAGTCTAGGGAACTGTAGGCAATTCACCTATAAGCACGGGTGGGAGAAGTGAAGAAATCTGAGCTTTCAGATCAAATTGCAGTTCATTAGGAGGACTCTCCATGTCTACTAGTGGCCTTCAACCAAACTTTTAAGAATTGATCATTCATTTATCAGAGATTCACATGTACCAGGCACAGGGATATAGTCATTGGCAGAAAAAAAAAGACATGGTCTCTGCCCTTATCACTTACTGGCTAGTAGGATAAGTAACTCAAAATAACTTAAAAAAAAAAAAGGATAACTGAAAACTAGTGTTATGAAACCAGAGGCACCTGTCTTGGTTAAGGAAGTCAGGAAAGGCTTCCCTTGGGAAATGATGTTAAGGTTTTGTTTTGTTTTTTTTTTTAAGTAGGCTCCATGCCCAATGTAGGGCTTGAATTCATGACTCTGAGATCAAGAGTCACATGCTCTACCGATGGAGCCAGCCAGGCAGCCCAAGTTAAGGTATTAATAAACAATCTTAAGTTTTACAAGGAGGGGGAGTAACAACAGCAGAGGGAGAGACTGGGGGTTGGGGGCAGGGAGAGCATCCTGGTAGAAGAAACAGTAGGAAGAAACAGTCTTCTCCAAAGGCCTTGGAGAAAAGTGGAATTTGATATATTTGAAGAACCAAACGGTGACCACTGTGGCAGAAGCAGCAGAGTCAGGGGTGGGGTAAGCAGGTGGGGGAACAGTGGTGTGAGGTGAGACTAAAGGAGAGGCTGATAGTAGGTCATTTAGGGACTTCTAGTATTTTGATCTCTCCTAAGAGCAACGGGAAGCCAACGAATGTTAAAATCATGAGGTGATATGATGAGACTCATGTTTGTTTGTTTTTTTAAAGATTTATTTATTTTTGAGAGAGAGAGCTCAGGGAGAGGGGGCAGAGGAAGTCTGAGAGAATCCTCAAGCAGACTGCCTGCTGAGCACAGAGCCTGATGTGGGGCTCGATCCCAGGACCCTGAGATCATGACCCAAGCTGAAACCAAGAGCTGGACGCCCAACTGACTGAGCCACCCAGATGCTCTGAGACTTATGGTTTGGAAAGATCACTCTGGCTGAAGTGGCTGAAGAATAAACTGGAAGTAGGCAAAAATGGTTTAGAGTTAAATCAATGGTTCTTAAAATCTGATGCCTGAATCAGCAGCATCGGCATCACTTGGGAACTTGTTAGAAATGCAAATTTCAAATTCCACCCAGACCCACTGATTCAGAAAATCAGAAAATCTAACTCTAGTGAGTTAGCAATCCATTTTAATAAGCACTTCAGGTGATATAAAGTTTGAGAATCAGTGGTTTAGACTATTGATTACAAAGTAAGATTAATCAATTTTAAGTTCCAACCTCTTTTTTTTTAAGATTTTATTTTTAAGTAATCCCTACACCCAACATGGGGCTCGAACTTATAACTCAAGATCAAAAATCACATGCTGCACCAACTGAGCCAGCCAGGCGCCCCAGAAGTTCTAACCATTCGAATGGCAACTTAGTGATGACAAATATTGATACTCTTACCTCTTTTATTTTTTCCTTACAAATCTTATACTGCTTCTTCTGACTTTCTAAGAAAGTTGTCAAATCTTTCTTCTGCTGGGCCAAGATCTGTTGCTGGAACTTCTTTTCATCTGCTGCAGCTACCTTTGCCTGATAAAATGACATACAATCTAGGATAAATTGTTCTTCACACAGAATTCAGCTATCGATATCCTCCAATGCATGAAAAGAGTCCATAACTGCTGAATAATGTAGTGTTTTTTGAACAAATAATTAATAAAAAAATAAGCAAACACCTGTTCTGATTCTCTTGTATCTTAAAAAAATTTGAAATTTTTACCATTGAAAAATACTTTCCCAATTATGGGAAAAATATGAAGGCAAGCCATCATGTGGCTTGAACACACAAAAATTACTGAACACACAAAAAATGCATGGGCTGAAAAGTGAACTAAGGATTCTAATAAAGGATTTTTTTCATATTGTTGGTAGCCCACAGATTAAATTACAAAAATGGATAAATAACCATGAGTGGCCAGTTTTATTCCCAGAATCTCACTCTGATTAATAACATTTTGTTTTCTTAGGCACCTGCTACGGTCACAACAGTCAGACACTGGGACATTTTGGGGTCTCCCAAATGGATAGAACACAGACCAAATAAAAGATAACCCAATAAACACTGGCTCCTGCAAGTGACCAAATCTAAGTTTCTGGGGACCATTAGATGCAACACATATGTAAGATGAGGTGTTTCGGAGACAGAGGGAATCTATGCTTCACGGTTCTCTTTATGGATCTTTTCACCTTTAGCATCCATCATCAATACTTTTTCCATTTTGAACAATTCTCTCTACATATTTATCAAATCAAATCCTCAAGAAAGTATCTGACTGGTTTCTTTAATCAATATCATCCCTGTTTGGGCAGACGTTTTCATGCCAGGCTGCCTCACAGCTTGATGGCTGTTGGGGGAATGCTTCATCTGCAGTTCTGATGTTTCCTTCCACGTGGAGAGAGCTTAATTACCGAAACACTCCTGGCACTCTGTCCCCAGTCACCCCAGCCCCAGGGAGCACACATTCACCCCTGCTTTCCCACACTATGTAAGTCTTACCGGGCGGGGCGGGGGGGGGGGCGGCGGTCACGGATGGCAAGAAAGGCGCCTGGTTTAGCACTGCCAGAGCCTAGATAGGCGAGTCTGTTCAGTTTTGTACATATTATTAGCGCATTTCCCTTCAGACATGAATTACTTCTCCCATCTAACACTTATCAGTAATAAAGGTAATATTTTGACTGTCTGCCTCAGCCTCTCCTGTTTAGAACCTAGATGGGGAAGAGAGATGTCTCCTAGAAGATCCAAGCAACAGCCAGATTAATTACTCACTGCCACTGGTCAGGTGCCCATTCCTAGTCCAATCAGTGCAGACAGGGACTATCACCACTGAAAGGGACTATTTGTAGAGCAGTTTTCTTTTGAAGAGGACTGTGGGTGTGGCAGGCACGGTAACAGGTCTGAACTGTGCAAGTTTCCACAGGATAGAAGCATCTTGTTTCTTTTTATTTGCACCCAGACCCCCTCAAGGGACTGGCTCTTAGAACATATTTGAATAGACAAGAATGTAATATACACCTGCAGTAACTATTTTAACTTTTAATGGCAATTTTAAGTAGCCCCATAAAACCTAACCCCTCTCAACTACCACCACCAAAGCAACATTGTTCCTCTGTCACCAAAAAGTGCACCACTCCTGTCTTTTGCTCACGTGATGTCACCTACTGAAACAGGCCTGGCTTGGTTACCGCACAAAGGCATGTGTATGCACACTGACCTCCTTCTCTATGATAGCCACTTGCTTCTTGGCCAGCTTCTCCAGCTCGATGGACGAGTTGTTGGCATGCGTCTCCACCTCCTTCTGTAGCTTGAGGCGGTGCTCATCCATCTCAGCCTTCAGCTTGTTCTCCAGGGCGATCAGCTGCTTCTGGTGCTGGCGCCGCATCCGCTTATAACCTGACATCTGTTCCCGCAACTCGTTCTCCTGCTCATGCTCATGGATCTGTCGTGTAACCTGATTGGGGTTGGGGAACAGAACTCAGGTAACCAGATTCAGGGAAGACAAACTTTCAGGGAAAGTAGAGGAGCCCTCTGGCATAATTCTATCACTGCCACCATCAATTTACCTACTATTTGCTGAATGCTCACCTGTACCAGGCACTGTGCTGGGTGCTCTTTATATTCTTTAGCTCTAGTCCTAAAAACCATCTCATTCACTCATTCATTTTACTCATTAATGAGGTAGGTGTTACCACCCCCATTTTGTAGATGAAGAAATTGAGACTTGAGGGAATTTATTCATTCAGCCAAATTATATTTACTTATTTTTGACATATCATTGTATCTGTATTCAAGGTCACATAGCTAATAAGAGGTAGAGCTGGGATTCAGACCCATTTCTGTCTAGTTCCAGAGCCATGCTATCTATCTCCACTACACCAGGATTTCTCAACGTCAACACTATCGACAATGAGCCAGAAAATTCTTTGTTTTGGAGGGCTGTCCTTGCATTGCAGGATATTTAGCAGCATCCCTGGCCTACCCACTAGATGCCAGTACACCTCCTAAGTCAAGACAATCAAAAATGTCTGTAGACATTGGCAAATGTCCCTTAGGGGGCAAAATCCCTCTGGTTGAGAACCACTGTATTATATCATACTGCTTGTTTTTAAAGATCATGTCTCTAACAGTCATAGGATTTTTGAGTATCTTCCTAAAGTTGTTTGAACAAGATTTATTTCTGATTCTTAATATGAAGAGTGGGCAGTGGGGGGTGAAAGGAGGGAGTGAGAGAGAAACAGAGCACTCTCTTAACTCTTCTGTCTCCTACCTCCCCTTCCCCACAGAAGAGATGTTAACATATTATAATACATTTACTTGCTCTTCTCAAGAAGAGAAAGCATTTCTATGATTTTTAGAAGGCTACTTCTCTTAGTAATTTTTCCTTAACCCATTCTCAGGTGAAAATCCAACAAACTCAAGATTGTAAACATAAATTTTGGCATCTTTTGTTTCTTTCTATTAAACCTTTTCTGATTTTCCACTCCTTCCTTCAGTTTATCACCCCTCTTTATTTTCCTGTTAGATTCTCTGCTCACTTCATTCTCTTCTTTCCTATTTTAGAAAAAAAATTCAATTACAAAACTATAACTTTAATTTTGTTTTTCATTAAGTAATTTAGTCACTCCTATCTACTATAAGGCAATTCTCCCCAACCTCACCCTCAAACAAGTTTTACTAGAAATTTTCATGCTGCTATTAATTCTCTTTACTATTTTCAGTTTATGGGTCAAAGTGCATTTTGTACAAAGAACAGTTTGTTTCTTTGCTCCTTTTAGAAGGTGTCCCTGCATACCAGACTGAGTCCTTACTATCAAGAGAGTGCTATTCTGTAACTGGATAGTATTATCAAAGTACACCATTAAACATTAGCCGAACTTTGAAACCTTTCCAGCTGAAACTAACACTAGGTTTCATATTCATTTCTCTTTTCTAAAGGACAATCCTCTTTAAAGTATGAAGAATAAGAGCAGAAGATATTTCAAGACCAAAAACAGGACAGTATCACCAAAGGGGCACCTAACACTCTAAAGGAAATCTATTTTGTCATCACAGTATCATGTTTCTTTTTAATGGACTTATTTCATGATAAAAGGAAAGAAAGAAGTCATTTGAAATATGTGTGTATATTTCACTTCCTCATGCTTGTGCCTTCCTTAAGTTCAACTATAGGGGAAAACAGTTCCAATTAACAGAAAGGATACCATTTAGTCCTTTCTGAATTCACCTGTTTTTCATACAAATATGGCAATAAAGTGTCCATTCTAGGGTAATGCATTTGAGATATGTTTTACCCCTAAACCTATTTTTTATGTTAGTATTCCTTCTTTAATCAGATTTCCAAAGCTGAGACATAGCACACTCTAAAGCTATCATGACACATTTAAAGCTTGCCACTGAAGGTCTGACTAGCTTGTGGTCAAATAGTTTCAGGATAGCCATTTCCCAAACCAGGCACCTAAATGTAAAGCAAAAATGAGTGTCAAGAACATTTTCTATCCTAACCGGTGGGTGACTCCCTGTGAAAAGGGTGGACCTACTGCATACCAGACAACACAAGTATGTGGCAAAGACAAATTACAAAGCTCAACATGTTATCATTGTATATCACTGAATTCCAGGAGAAACACTTTCCTCCTAATGCTTCCCATAATTTGAATAATCCTTTGTAAACTCCTAATATCACCTTCAATTTGTTGCAACGAAACTTTCTACGTTTCAATGTTAATTGCCTTCTTAGGCACATATAGAGATACTGAGTTTTATAATCCCATACTCAAGCAAAGTAAACAAATTTAAATAAAAATCTGGCCAGATGACTCATGTATGAAGTCTAACTAGAAAGACATAAAAGTATTATTATCTACAGTTATATACACCTGCATGTTTTAAGTTTATACTGTGGGTCTTACAAATACATTATTTGGTCAAGAGAATAAAAAAATGGCTCGTAATTTTAAATTTTACCATGCTTTATGATTTACAATGTAATTTCACATGCAATTTACCCCTTTAATTTTTATAAACCCCAGGATTTGAATTGAAGTTCTATGGTTCTTGAACTGCCTGAGAAAATTCACCCCACTAAGGCAGAACGAAACTTTATTAAGCAATGGAGGGAATCAACACCCCAAAAAAGTCAAAGCTGGAGAGAGTAATGAGTCTAAGCTACAAACTGAACAAGTCTAAAAATGGAAGAAAGTTATAGAAATGTAGTGACTGTAGTTTTCACAATGGTAGTCTCAAAAATGTGATCAACTGAAAGTGGGCAGTAGCATCTTGCTACACCCATTAGGTTGCTTGGACACAAATCCCATTCTGTCCCTTACTGTATTACTGACCTTGGGCAAATTACTTTACCTCCTGACGGCTCTCAGGAGGAGCCACTGCTACAGTGAGATCACTGATGGGATAACTCTTGTGCTCAGCAAGGTGTCTGACACACAGGGGATGTTCGATATATGTTCATTTCCTTCCTTGTCCTGCCAGCATCTGAGCTGTATGTCTCTCCCTCCACCAAGCATTGCCAGTGATATGGACATAGATCAGAAGGGGTGGATCCAAGAGAAAGGGCAAGTTTAACATTAAAACTGTACTTATATCCAGGTTGTGGCTTATAAAATAAGTACACATAATTTCTGAATTTGAATTATTAATCATTTCACACACTTGGAGTAATATATAAAAGCTAAGAGCCATAAAGGAAGACTGAACTTTTCCCAGAAAGTTTCTACAGCCATTCCATTCCACCTTATTTAAATCTGGCAAAAATTTGCACCTACAACACATGACTACATCCAAAGTGTACCATCTGCCTGCCAAGTGCAGAACACTGCACTAGAGGGCTAATGAGCAACTTACTGAACATAAAAGAGGAGCATAGTGGCTGATAATGTTACCCTCTTAAGAGATCAAAGCCAACTTACAAGATTAATTATATGTAAGAATCAAAATAATGTATATGATAAAACAGGCCACTTCAACTCTTAGGATAAATGAAATTTATAGCAAGTTCTTAAAAAGAATACAATGCCCATTTTGACATTAGAAATTTCACATTCCACTCTTTAGAACACCTAGGGAAAAACATTTTAAGTTCATACCAAAAGTAATGATGGATAACAGGCAATTCTGCCTTATACAGAAACACTGGCAGGAAGCACTTAGAAATGTACACTTGCAAATCCAAATTCTCATGTGATAGCAGGACTGGAAGAGACTTTGTTCATTCATTTGTTGATTCATTAATTCAACATGTTTATTGAGAGAGTTTGGTCATGTGGGTTGGGCATATAGACTGGGCAGCATATGTGAAAAACGGTCTCAGTAATGAGCCTAGTGAGATTAAGAAGCTAAGAAAAAGGAAAAAGGAGCTATAAAATATTCTGATAAGCATCCTCTGTATACCACCCAGGAAGAGAACACATCTCCAAGCCTTTAGAAATAGAACAGTGGGGCTCATGAGGGGTGAAACAGCATTAACTGCAGAGGCTCTAATATTTTTATGCTTGTCTATCAAACTCATTCAGGTATCCAATTGCACAATTAGCTGAAAATTAGGTTGCATTTTTAAAATCGAAATGAAGACTCCATTTTTATATGAGCTTTCCTACTGCATGTGGTAAAAGCAAAGTAAAAAAAAAATCCACATTTGCATGGATAGGACAATAATCATTTTTGTCTATATGCTTTCTATATGCAAAGATTAGAAACTGAGAGTTTTATGCCCCTGTCCCTAATGTGTATTTTTTTTTAAGTAGGCTCTACACCCATGGCACTTGAACTCACAACCCCACGATCAAGAGTCGTATGCTCTATCGAATGAGCCATCCAGGAGCTCCCCCGTCCTCCCCGGGCCAATATGTACTCTAACATAAATTCACCTTTGTAGTAAGACCACTCATTCCTGTGAGAATTCCTTCATAAGGCCAAAAGCTGAACTGTCTGACAGATATGGGCTTGTGCTCTTTATATTAACATCTGCTATGGGAACTACCATATGATCCAGGACATTATGAAATTTTAAGAAATGACATCAGATATAACAACAGCTGAAAACACTCTCATGGGTTAGTAATCCAATTAAAATATTAAGATCTCCATTTACCAACAATAAAAACTTAAGGGAGCCACATCTCAAAGGCCCAATAAGGCAGATGAGTAATTCTGAACAACTATATAAACAACTCCTTTCTCCAGATCATGAATCAGTCCAATATGAACTTTCTTACAGAAGAAGAAAAAGAAAGGATAAAATAAAAAAGGTTCTATGAAATGCCTTTCCTTTTCCTAGTTTTTCAAAATAAGGTCAATAATTGCTGCCCTTCTATGATTATAATAAAAAAATACATAATTCTACATAATTCTAAAGTTTCCTCAGAGTTACCTTTGATATCAAGGTTCACGGTCCTTGCTATTCCTTTGTTACAAGTGTAATTGTGCAGCAGTATATATTAACATAAAAATCTGTTTTAAGGTGCCAAAATGGTAAAAACATCAAGCAGTAAAAGCCTGTAACCCATGGGCTGCATACACTTGTCAATGACCCCATTCAAAAGCACAATGTAGAAAAAAATGCCAAGGGCAAACCCCACAGATTTAGGCCTCTTTTAGGTTTATGTATAAGAGGTAGGCTGATAAAACAAATTTAAGGAACTATAAAATTTTTTTGTCAGTTTGCAAGTCTATTTAAAATATACGCTCATTTAAAAAATATACACTCATTTATCTAATAATTGGAAAAAATAATTTCTAAATTCTTTTTTCTTTTTGCTGTTCATTTTTGAACCACTCTGTGTCTTGTTAGCACTTCTATTTAGAAGATTGTAAAGAGTAAAACCAAAATAAATAAGTCAATACAGTATTGCTAGCAACTATGGGAAGTGAAGAGAGGTTTTAACAATGACTTGATATTCATTATACTGGACTTTCATTTTCCCATGATCTTGCTCCTACTTTTATGTCATTTAAGTAACTTTAGTCCTTTTCCTTTGAGCCTAGATCCATGAAAAGCACTACGATTCATGATATACTTTTAAAATTTAGATACTTCTTTTTGATATTCCAGTGTCCTGATTTATATATTCCTATTAGACTATTGGAATTAGCCTTTAACACGACATTGGTAGTAGAACTGTAGTACCTGATAAGATACATTAAAATATCCACACCAATAATTAGATGGTCCAAAGTGAGACATGGAACATATAACATCATACCACTTTTCCCTTCTATTAGTTCTTTTTTCTTAACAAGCACTAGATGCAAATACCACTGACCTCCGATAAACTTCCATCAATCCCACCATGACCCCCAAAGCATTACATTTGGAGAAGGTTTTCCACATAAAACAACTTATTTTATAGTGATTACCGCAACAGCCCATTAGCTACTCAGTTTTTAACTTAATATAGGGGCACGGAGCCTTTTAGCAAATCCAAAGTCCATCAGAGACTGATCTCAGCTGGGCACTAGGAAGCCTGTAGGATTCAGAGGGGCTCCTAAGGACTTTGCCTATAGTCCTGAGGTGGCCTATCACAGAGAAGACTGGGATGGCTGACAGGCACACAGAGTAGACCTGGGTGAGTATACAAATGCAAGCATGAGATCATTGTGGTACAGCAGTAGTAACATTTTACTAGGAGGTAGGAGAGGTCATGAATATATGATGTGGGAATGAGGGCGTGGCAAGTGACAAAAGATGAGAACCTGTCCCAGAGGGGGAAAATCCACTTGTATAATGTTTGTTTCACATTCAAAAACCTGCTTCTGGTGCTCTGAGTCTCGGTGGCTGCTCACCATTTCTCCTCTCATTTCAACATGAACATGTCTGGATAAAGATACAAGTCTCCCAAGAGTCGGTGGTAAGTAAGAATATTACATAAAATAAAATAAAAAAAAATTTTTTTGGTCAGGTATCATGACATAAAGATATTTATTAATTTCATGGTGCTTTATTTAGACTCAAAAGCATGTTTTTTCTTTAGGTGCTTAGCAACTGTTAGCAAATACACAGTGGACATTTTTGTATCTCCATTACACAGTATAACGTTCATTTAAAATGAAAAATTGCCCATTAAGAGATGACAAGAAACTTCTATACACAGGAACTTAAAGGTAGGCTTATTGATAAGCAGTCCCAGTTAAAATGCTTGCTTTTAGATGGCAGCAGGCATAGCAATATGGTGCTTTAACTTCCATTTTCCTCATATTTGGGTTTTTAAAGATTATAATCCATTATCAATTCCAAAGATAATTGAAGCCCTTGAAAGACTTGAGAGATAAAAGTGGAAATCAGGCTTAAAAAATAGGACAAGAAAAACAATTTCTGGGTCGGCCTCGGATGATGTCATCGCAGGTTCTAAATGTAATAGCCAGGCAGTGTACACTAACTCTTCCTGCCCATGTGACCTCTAACATCAATCTGGGCAAAACAACGAAAATTTCAGTAATTTTTGTGGCCGAGAAGTGAGATTCAGAAGCAAAAGATTAAAGAGAGTTTAGAGTGCCAAGGATGAAACGATGTGTGTGTGTGTGAGTATGGGAGCGCGCAGGCGCACGCGTGGGGGGCCAAGGGGAGGAGGCATGGAAACTAACTCTTCCAGCACACACCCCTTTTGCTACTACAAGGGCATCCAGCAATCACATTTGCAATAGTAAAAATGCTGAAGGATCCTACAGTACCTTTTCTTCCACAACCATCCATATCCTCTCCTACAAAGCCCTTCTTGCTTTATTCGTGCCAGGAAATTCTTCAGGGGTTAAATGGGGAAGTGCAGCCACTACCATTGTTGCAATAAATAAATGAATGAACCAGAACGAACCAGCAATTCATCCCTAGGAAGCTAGTATCTTATTTTCTACAATTACATACATTAGCTAGCAGTGATATATTTTAAAAAATTGTGTCTTATCTTTTGATATGTGTGTATACATTACAAACATACATGCATCTATACAAAAAGAAGCATAGTACCCTGCATACACATACATCAAATACCTTTAAAATTTTTTAGCATTATTATTTCAATGAAAAGACAAATAGCTTTTAAAAAATTGGATAGGTTAGCAACTTCATCTTAAAGGCCTTTTATTTTGCACATACAGCATATATAAATACACACACACATACACACACACACACAAAGGTTTTTTTTTTTTCCCCATGCCGTAGACAATGCTAAAATATCTGAGATCAGGTTGCCATGCCAACAGATTTTTTCTAAAATGAATAAAATTATTAGGAGGGAGAAAACATTCTTGACTCCTTTCCTCCCATCCATGAAGCCGAGAGAGGCTCAGGGAGGGCGAGAGGCTGCCAGATGGGGAGGAGGGGAAGGAAGGGAAGGTGGGTAGAGGGGTGTTTGCTTACCAAAGATGCTGATTTGATCGTGGCAAAGCGCTCTCTGTTCCGGTAGTGGAGGGCCTGGCTCTGAACTGACTGGGTAGGCCGCGGCTCAGGCCTGGGATCGCCGTGGCCCGCCTCATCCCTTATGAATACATGATCCTGCAGAAATGGATAAAAACAAGGAGAAAGTCCAGCTGTGCTCTTTCCTCGCCGGCTGCCTCTCTCTCACCCCTCTTTCTGCACAAGCACTGCTGTTTGAAATGCATAGTTTAGCTCTCTGCTAGTCCCCGCAGCTCCCACGGTACAAAATGAATAAGCAACACATTGCAGCCTTCAGTTAGGAATGTCAGCTGATCGCTAGTGGGATGCCTTCTGAATCCCTGGCAGGCTTTTTCTTTACCTCCAGAATTACATATATGCAAAAGAAAAAAAGAATAGAAAAAACAATGCAATGTACAGACTCCTTAGAACAGTTTGCTTAAAACGCTGTAACCAAATAATTCCTTTAAAAATGTCATGTCCATGTCTAGCAAGGAGGATGCTGGTTGCTTTTAACATAAAAGCGAGCCTCCGCCTCATTCCCTTGAAAGATCTGCTTTCTCAATTTAATTTTATTTGAGATCTGTTCGGTAGGATCATCGTTCTGCCTAGAACCAGTGTAGGCTTGTGCTGAACTGCCTCTCTATCTTGTGCTGGGAAGATTCGGCAGTCACTGAGGGATCCTGCTTTCCAGTCATGATCGTACACAGTTCTAGCACCTTCTCTCTACAGCTTCTGAAAGGATTTTTTTTAGATTTAAAGAGACAGGCATGTAATTTTAACCAAATGATACTTTCACAAATTCTTCCTCAACTCAGTCTCAATATGGTCACTAGAGTGAGTTAAGGCTAGGATTTAATGTCCTTGGCTGACTTAATCAAATCTGTGCTTCTTAATAGGCAGAGATGATTAATCTTGTTGTAACGCCCAGTGAAAAATAACATTCCCTGGAAGGGTAATAATGGATGTTTCTTAAATGCAATTTAAATGAGTTTTAAAGGGGAAAATGCTTTCAAAGGGTCATGTTTTTCTCTATAAAAGATGGAGTGGTCAGTCAGTAAGTAGCTCTTAATCCTTCAGGAAAAAAGATACTATAATAATAGCTCAAAAACATGTACAACCATGGGGGATTTTTAAATAGTACATGTTCAGGATAGGGAAGGGGAAATTAATTCCCTTATTGCCCTAGGGTTTTAGGAGAAACCATCTGTGAAAAGTCAGTTTTGCATTTTGTCTATGACTACCCGAAAAATGTTTTTTAAATAATTGCTCACTCTTTCAACAGAAAACAAAAATTGAAGAGGTTTAGAAACACAAAATTTTATTATATCATCTAAAATTTTTAAAAGTCAAGACACATATTCTTGAGGGAAATTAAATTTTTATATCCAGGTTTTTAGGTAAAAGTCAAGAGCCAAGATTAAATTTACCATTGGGCTGATTTTCTTTTTCCATTTATAAATTTAGAATGCTCCAGAATGTTAGGAAGGCATCTACCATTACATCTATATTTAGAGATTTTTTTTTTCAATTTACTGTATTGAGGTCTATTTGTTTTTAAATAATGAAGGGACCTTTAATGCCATTGAGGACATATATGTCAAATTCAAGGATATTCTATTGTTATGCTGTCTTATATGATAGCCAGTAGCCACATGGATATTTAAATTAAATAAAATGTAAAATTCTGTTCCCAAGTCACACCAGCTATGTTTTAAGTAGCCACTAACTACGGCTACCATACTGAAAAGTGCAGATATAAATCCTTTCCATCACAGCAATCAGTTCTTTTTTTTTTTTTTTT